AATGAAGATGAAAAAAAATATTCAGCTATGCATCATCATGAACAAAATAGTACAAATAGTTTTCGTTTGAGTTCAGCTGCAAATGCTATGGCACATATCAACAATGTAAATAATTCAAATGATGATAATGAAGCAAATCAACGACGGCAAACATTTCATATGAGATCATTTGGTAGTAGTGGAGCACCTTATATTGATGATGATGATGATGATGTAAGTTTAACGAGAAAGAAAACAGAATCACAGTGAAGTTTGACTTTGTATTTTAAATTTTCGAAAAATATTTTCGACTCGAAATCTTTCTTAAGAATGAATTATAGTTATACATGTTAAAATGATAGATTGAATTGATAGAATCTTTTTTCATTTCTAATTTCTAGTATTTTTATCGAAGTATGATGTGTGCGAAATCTAGCGCTAAACAAAGTAGTCTAAACATAGGCAATGCTTCAAACATCTAGTCGTAGTGTAGTAATAATAAGGGTGATTGATCTTGTTAAATTGTGCAGGATCGACAGTAAAACACATTTGAAATATCTTCATTATGTTCTATCAAATGGGATGGTGATTGGTTTTTCATTTCTAACGGAGACCTTTTTAAAGTTGACTGTCATCTACCTGTGAAGAGATCAGTAGATAATTTTCTATTATCGACTAAGAAGGGAACCTTCGAAACTTGAAAAATCGCTTTTTGACTTCGGACTCTGTGTCTAAGGTAGATCCTAATCACAGGTTAAAAACCCCAAAACAATAAGATTCTCTAGCCTTTCCTTATAGAGTTATAGCTGTCTTATTGAAATTTTAATCAACAGCATAGTATGTAGAAAACAATCGAATAATGATATATTGAACTAAAATTTTGCCCATATATAGACCTAGTTGTCCTTAGAGTGTTCTCTTCATTGAATATTGAATTTCCAAAGATTACTCATGTTTTTTTCTTTGGAGAATTCAATATCTCGTGAAGAGAACAGTCTAGATACAACTAAGCCTATCTATGAGCCAAATTTAAGTTCAATAGAACGTCATTCGATTCTCTTTTTTATATACTATGCTATAGATTAAAGTTTCAGTGCGATGGCCATAACTTTGTATGGAAAGCTTAGGAGCTTTTATCGCTTTGGAATTCTTAATATCTCATTGGGATCTACCGTATGCACAGAGCCACAACTTCAAGTGATTTTCAAGTTCGAAAGCTCCTATTATTAAATGAGAACAGAAAGCTATCTATCAATCTCTCCACATGTATTTTTTTCTTTGGCAACAGATTACAGCACCTCAGTAAAGTCAGTAATAATACTTTAAAGCCATATTTATTTATGTTATGGGTATATCATACCGAACTTCTAAAAAGTTTCAGCTGGTTTAATTGAATCGTAATGGAGGTATTCTAACTTTTGATCGTATAATTATTTATGGTCTATTGTATATATTCGAAGAAGACCAAAGTAAGTCAGCAGTACTTAACACGTTTGAAATTACTGCAAAAAAATCTATTCTTTAGTAATTATCTACAATAGAAATCGTTTCGCTTCGAAAGGGTAATGTACTAATAATTAGACTTACAATGGAGGTGTTTGTACTGTCCGTGAGAAAAATGGGATATATTCTGGTCAAATGAAAGCTCTCACCGAGAAACTAACAAGGTTAAAATATTAGCTGCCCTTGGCTTACCTAGGGGACGATATTCGATTTTTCAGGAGATTTTCCCTGCAGGACCCCAGGTTTCCAGCAAAATCATATTTTCGAATTTCGACCTGAAACCTTGCACACATGAAGGCCTCGACTAGACTAGCTTACAAAAAAAATTTTAGAAGTTTTGGATAATCTCTCACCGAGATATGAGTTTCTCAAAATATAGACGCTTTTCCATAGATATTGTATATTTTGAGAAATTCATATCTCGGTGAGAGATTGTCCAAAACTTCTAAAATTTTTTTTTTAAGCTAGTCTAGTCGAGGCCTTCATGTGTACAAAGTTTCAGGTCGAAATTCGAAAATATGATTTTGCTGGAAACCTGGGGCCCTGCAGGGAAAATCTCCTGAAAAATCGAATATCGTCCTCTAGGTAAGTCAAGGGCAGCTAATATTTTAACCTTGTTAGTTTCTCGGTGAAAGCCTTCATTTGACCCGAATAGATCCCATTTTTCTCACGGACAGTACAAACACCTCCATTGTTAGAAGAAGAAGCTGCTGTATTACTTGACATCGAGAAATAAATTATAGAAGTTGTATACAAAACTTTGCTTTTACGTTTCCAACGAAATTTTTTTTTTTTTTGAAATTAGCAAAATTAAAAAATTTTCCAAAGTCAAAAGATTTCTATCCATCTATGTAGACACATATGAATAGATTCTACGGTTTCAATTGCATAAAACTCTTGATACTTAACTATTTAAATCATTCAAGAATAAAGAAAAATTTTATTGACAATTTTAACACTTGTAATAAATAAATGTTAAACAAAGTCAAGTGTTTAGGATGAAGTCGAGCGATTTGATATCGATGATGAATTAATGAATAATGAACAAACAGCAAGCGAACGAAAACTAGCTGAAATGAAAAAAGTATAGATAAACAAAAAAAAAAACTCACATTGATTCTGTTTATAATTGTTTTCTTTTTTCTTTTTATTGAATTAGATTTCCTTTGAACCTCAATTTCCACCTGTATTTGATGAACAATCACTTTGGCATCAACAAGATGATACAGATATGAAAAAAACTAATCATGGTAATGAAGATAATGATAATATGAAAATGACATCAGCTCCTCCATTACCTGATCTATTTGAAAATTATCGAAAACAACAAGAAAAATCGACATCATCAACAGAATCTAATTTTGAACAGCTCTGTTCTTTGCGAGCTAATGATCATGGTAGTGGTCCTATTATTTTTCCATTTCAATCATCATCATCGTCAACAGTTCGTGATGAGGTAGGAGAAGGACAAGATGAATATTGAAAATACATGCAAACTATGGGTAATAAAGCGTCCATGCATACAATTTGTCTGCTGCCGCCTACCGTCCCTAATGGTTCGATTGTTTTGTTTCTTTTCTATATATCTGAGATTTGACATTCTTCTCTTCTTCTATCTTAACTTTGATATGTTATCAAATAGGAAAAACCTATTACTATTATATGTTTTATGTTCATATTATTTTTTTTCCCTTGTCAAAAATGTGTATAGTCTCTTGTATTAAGATGTTTGTGTATGTATGTCTTTGTTTTGTTTGTCTGTCATGATGGTTGTATAGAAAAATGATCGTTCTTTTTTGGTTTGTTTTTCGATCAGTATATTATGAATAAAAGAGAAAAGAAAAACAACAGCTGATCTCTCTGTATGTGTGTGGAAAAAGTATATTGGCGGCAGCAGGCGATTTATTTTAACACAAGTGAAAAACAATAATTGTGTTTGTAATAAAATTCGAATATAAATCATACAATAGTGTTTACGTGAAGTTTTTAAATCATACATTATCTGACTTTTCATTATTTGCATGTAAATAGGCAACATCGAATAATGACCTATCTTGGCATCACTATTCTATTTATGTAGTGAATACAAATAAGAATCATCATTTAAATCAATCATGTGACAAAATTAATAGATAAAGAGACTGGTACGATTCGAAATCCGATAATATCAACGCGTAATATCAAATGCTTCAGAGTTAACTATTAAAACAAACTTACTCTTGTTAGTTAACTTTTCCCCTTAAAATATATGAATTTCAGTTTTCATCAGATGAGCAATACATTGAATCACTTTATACTCAGAGATAGAAAAAAAGATTGCCTTCAAGTAGTCAATTATTGTTATGAAAACCTGGTTAACATAAATTATTTGAACCACACTTAAAATAGTATTATTGTCGCTTTATCATGACAAAAAAAATCAATTTGAATCCTGTTCTCAATGAACTCTTTATATTGTTCATGGCAATTAGTATAATTGCTACTTTAAGTATTTTGAGTTTCCGTCATTAACAGATTGATCAGCATGATTGAATACTTTTCTGTAAATAAGAATCAATTTACTAAGAAATGCATGTTTTGTCGACAATATATGCATATGTACTCCTTTTTCTTCGATGGTAGATTTATGAGCTCTAGAGTATATACATAGTGCCAAAAACTGGTGACTCCGAGACCATCAGACCGATCATCGAAACATGAGAGATTTATGACTATATATATATTATAATAATTCTAAAGGCCAACGTGACCTATAGTTGATAAAATAGAGGCTATGGTGAGTCTGCCGATGAATGAATAGTAATGACTTATTTGAAACATCTCATTAAATAAATAAGGATATCATTAGGGTTTGAATGAGTTAGGTGTGTGATATCTTTCATGTAGAGTGAGATCTCCTGCTTTTGGTCGTGTGTCGATAAACAGGCTTCTTTTGCTGGGCCTCCTAAACATCTGTTGTTGGAAAAAAGGGGATATGATTCTATTTTCAAAAATTTAGTTTCAAATGAAAAACCTCATAGACTTGCCGATGATTGATAATCAATAAATCTTAATATGTTTTCCCAACTTACTGTATAATATTGTGTTAGATACAACAATTAATCTTAGTAAATGTCAATGTATATAAATAGAATCGCATGAAATGAATGGATAAAATCCTGAATCTAATTAAATGTATTGCATCCAAAAAAACATCAGAATTCTTCATGGTTCTGTTCAATTAGCATATACTTATTCAACAATATTTTTTATGGCTTCTTATACTGATACTAGTAATAACGTAACTATCTTGGTCGTGTATCTTTGATTACAATCGATGCACCATAATTATTGTACCTCTTGTCAATGTGAAATAAATTCTTTCAATAAATGAAGCAGTTTTATTTTATTCATTAAATTTGTCTTCAACTAAGTCATGCCAAATAAAACAGATATTTACAAAACTAAACGATGATGAAAATCTTATTGAATCGTACGGATTGAATTCTCATCAAATAAATATCATTTAATCTTTTTTTTTACACAGAAATAATCGAAATTATAATGCCTATGATTAAAAGCCACATATGTGGAATAATAGATTGTCCTTTATTATACCAATAGTTACTACCAGTTGCATACCATCCTGCACTTCCAGGTGGATAACGATTATACGGTCGATTAAAATAATTGTAAGCATTTGGTCGTTGCCATGCATTATGATAGATATTGTGATATAAATTGTATTGCTGTTGATGTTGCTGCTGTTGATGATTCCAGTTTGTAATAAGACCACTGTTCGGAGAATATCCTTGACTATAACTGATCACATTGATGTTACCGTTAGCATCATTGGTGATTGGCCCAAGGTCACCATAGTTCGGATTAATTCCACTACCTATAGTTACAGGAAAGAAATGTGCACAAAATATATTCTCTGATAAAAATCATCCTCACCATAGTAAGCACCCGGACTGGCACCACTTGGATTGTTTGATCCTCCAGCCCATCCTACATAAGGAAGGTCTTCTCTTGAAAAATCAGTGTATTGACGAGGATCAGGTTTAGGAGGTACTGCATCTACAAAAATGCCAATATTCATGTTTTCTAAGACTTTTTTTCTGTTGTTTATTACTCACTTATTGCACTGAAAAACAAATTAACAGAAACGAAAAGATACATGTTAAGAATCATTTTATGCATTTATACGTTTATGAACGTGTGAATCAAGATTGATTCTTTTCTTCGATATTGAGTCAGTAACAATAAAGATGAAATGGGACAAATTCCATAATATGACTTTCTTTTTCTCTATTTTTCTCTTATTCTACATGACTTTTCTTTGTTTGTACAGCTTCATTCTATTAGAAATGTTCTTAGCAAGAGTTTCTTTGTATAACATTCATGGTTGACGAGAAAAAAGTACCAGAAAAAGAGAGAAACGTATTATACAGTTACATAACGAGTGCTTTGCAAATACGTATTGAGGAAGAGAACATGTCATGTACTTACTAGAAACAATTTTTTATGCGCCATTTTCTATAATTAATAACTGATGGACGACAATCAATCACTGTACAGGCAAATAAAAACTATATCGAAAATTATAATTGCAATCCTATCTATTATACTTGTGCAGTTTTATGCAGATAAAAAAATACAAATAAATTGATAAATTTTATTTTCTCCTATCATTAATTATTATTTGATTGTAATTTAAAAGAAAATCCACAAAAAAATAATCTTAACTAATGAATTTAATCAATACATCAACTAAATTATTTTCTTTTTATTATCATATACATGATTGAGTTGATAGATGATAATAAAGAAACGTGTTTTTTGTAGCTATATATTTAAAGATGAATGACAAAAAAAACAAGTGTTTGTGTTTTACTAAAAATGTTTGTTCTAAATGAATAAAGTTCATCTTCAAAAATTGTATCATTTACATTTCATTTATCATTTTATCCATGTGAAAGACTAGTCAACCAAGTCTCAAAAAATTTTTGTTCTTTTTTCATCATATTAATATCTTGTACATCGCATCTTCATGTAGCTCACCATGAAATATACGAAATCCGTATGCACTCGGAAACGATCGCATTAACCCAAATTTCACTGTATTGTATGGGTGCGTATTACGATTGGCTTTCTCCGTATTATTTACGAAGAAATACGACCGTTTAAGGCAAAATGCGAAACGAAACAGAGATTGTATAGGAACTCCGTAAACTATAGTGTTTACGTCCGTTCACTATCGGATTTCTTCGTATACAATTCGAAGAAATACAATCGTAATACAAAGTCATGTCATAAACCAAAGTATAACAATTTACGAGTCGTTGACGAACACGCTTGTTCGACCTGGGGACAAATACATCACAAAAACTTACAACATATATATTTTGAGATATTCTCAGCCAATTTTCATGGTACAAATTTGTAATTGATTTCGAAAATATTCTTGCAATTGATAGTCTACAAATATACATCAGAAATTTTTATTTAAACTTCTAAAATGAAAAAATGATCGAGTAATACTGTGAACTTCTGCAATATGTACGACTTTTTAATCTTAAAAACATTTGGTTTCATTTTCTTTGTTGAGATTTTAGTTTTTCAAAAAAACTTATTGTCATGTTCTAGTCCATGCACAGCTCAATTGTTCTGCTATGAACATAGAATTTTCATATCAATGCATCGATTGCTGTAGAAGAACATTTCGTTTTTGAAAGTTAGCAAATTTGACATATTCGGGCATTTTGATAAAAAAAATCACTACAGCTTGATCTTTGATGTTAAAACTTTTAACGTATAAACAATAATCCGTTACACTAAATGCCTACAATTTTGTTAAAGATTGCAGAGGAAACTTGTTGAGAATTAGCACAAATTTCTAGACTTAAAGCTAGTCAAGAAAAACACAAAATACACATGGTGCCATTCTTTATAGCGTATTTATTTTCTTTTAGCTTTACTAATCGTTATTGTGTTGAATATTGAGTTGTCATAATTTTATTACATGAAATCATGCTACTTATTTTATTTCGAACGAAATACAGTTATATTATGGCACTCAGAACAATAAATATAATCATTTAGTGTCTTATCCCTGATTGACGTATTCATTATAAATACATGATAATAAATCAATGAATCAACAAAATCTGTGAAATACAACAAAACAACATATATCAGATTTTATTGAGCTCAATCAATTTTAGAACATGTTTCACTAAAGTCCGTTGTGATCCTAATGTTATTGATTTAGTTCCTTTACACATATTCATTTGATCATTACGCAATGTTGGTGAACATTCTTTTGTGTGAAATACATGCATTAAACTTGTATCAATTGTTCGAAAAACATTTAAAGTTGGTGATTGAACTAACTTATCATAAATTTCAACATCTTCTTTTCCCCATCCACTTATTTCAACATTCCAATTACCACTAGATTGCAGATCTGCTTTATATGTTCCAAGCATACCAAAACCATATTGACGCCAATAGCCAATATCATCACGTAAATTAAACGATGAAAAATTTGCTTCATATTGTGATGTTTCCCAATAATGTGGATCATATTGACTAAATATAATTGGAAAATAGACTTGTTTATGAAAAATAGTATGATGACGTATACGTGGAAATAAATCTCGTGTAAAAATCATATCAAGATCAATAAAAAATAATAGATCTGTATCATTAAAACGAGATGCACCATAGGAACGTGCATAACCACGTGTAAAATTTCCATCTTTAACTTCAATTAAATGTATACGTTTTGCTTGATTATCATTAAGAAATTTTTTAATATAATCAACTATTGTTGACATACGTTCACCACTATCTTCAGCTGTTTCCATTAGAACAATATAAAGATGTATATTAAGAAGATCTGTATCATTAGTACGCATAACAACATAATTAAAATTATTTAGTAATCTTTTAAGTGTAGGAAGACGTCCACTAACAGGTACAATCATATGTATAGGAGTAGAAGATGAAGTTATAATCGTTGTACTTATATTATTAGTCACCGGTGTAGTTAAATTAGCAGGGTGAGGAGAACCAGCTCCAGAAGAAGATAATATTGCACTTGAATATGCTGATGATAATTCACGAAAGTAAAGAGGACGAAATTTTTGCACGACATAAACACGTTTTCGTACGGGTACCTGAATACATAAGAAACAAAAAAAAATTCTTCAATAAAAATTTCATTGAAATTCTTGAAAAGATTAAATTCATTTGAATTTTTATGAAACACGATTAAAAAAGTGTTGAAATATATAGAAAACCTTTAAGAATGCTTTCTCCACGTCACATGTTGTGACGGACGTTATTGATATATGATCATAGACCCTACATCAATTACGTCTCATTATAATATATGAACTACTTTTTTTTATTGAATTTATGGAAGATAAATTAAAACAATTGTAAAGAAATGTATCTCGAAATAGATAGCAAAAAAAAATCTTCACATGATCAGTAACAACAGGGTAAACAGGTCTTTTTTTTTAATTCAAATAACTTACCGACATTTTTTTACCAGAAAATTTGCGATAGATAAGAAATAAGTCTAAAATAAAATTCATTCCATATCTTGGCTGATATTTATAATAACCATATAAAGTTTTTTTATATTCTAAAAATCGACCCATATTTCTTGAAATTTTATTTACGTCTTCCATATATGTTCGAACAACTTCATCAAAACATTGTTTATATGCTGGTTCAATAGATCGAACAGGTAATTCTGTATTTGCTGAATATTGACTAGCAGTAAAGAATGTATATATACCAGACTCGTGTTTTTCATGTAAACTATTATTTTTTTGACGTGAAAATTTGTTATGATAATTATTTAATGTTTTTGTACGTGTTAAATAGTCGTGATTATTATTATTTTTTAACATTGATAAACCAGTATTGAATGGAAAAGGAAAATTTAAATCATTTGTTAAAGATGATGATGATGATGATGATGATGAAGGAGAAGATAATGATGAACTAAGAGATTGATTAAAATATATTCGTAATGCATTCCATAAGTGATATTCTAAAAATGAAGTAATAAAAAATATACATAAATAGATTATATGTTTGTTTTTTAAAATCTTCTATCTATACCTTGTTGTTCATTATTATCATTAATAAATAATCGAAATGTATTATTATATAATGACATAATTTGTTCAGAAATATGTTGATCAGGCATATTCAATATTTTATATTGTTGTTTTAATTTAATTTTAATTTGTTCATTTTTAGTTTTTTGTATTAATTTTGAAAGATTTTTTGCTTGAAGTTTTATTTGATTTTGTATATTAAGAATTTGATCATAAACATCAATTTGACGACGTAATAACATTTTTTGTTGTTCCATATCCATAATTTTTCGTTGTAAAGCGAAGTTATGTACACGTGTAAATACACGAATGTCTTTTATTGAATGAAGACTAACAGCACGTAAAATATCTGTAGATACAAGATTTGATGCTCGATAACCATCAGTTTTATTTGGATGATTATATAAAATATGTTGCATTTCATATGACCATGTACATGAAGTATTGGCATATTTATGTACACATCGACCAAGTTCAACATCTTCATGGTAAGTATAAAAATTTTTTAAACATTTCTTTATATGTGGAGTAAAACGTGCTAAAGTTTCACGTGATAATATTATACCAGGTCCACCCATACAAAAATTTTCATTTTCACCTAAAGCTAACTTTCCAAATTCTTCTTTTGTTCCTACACCTGGCTGACCAATATAATATGGTTTACCTAAAATTGCAAACAAAAATTTTTATTGAACTAAAAATAGAATAATTAAAATAAAAAATTTTACGATTATCTATTGAACGAAGTAACTTTTCTAAATTATCTGTTCTTATATAAACATCATCATCGACACGCATAAACCATTCAAATTTATTTAAATAATGATCATAAATATATTTCATCATAAGAAAAGATTTTTTCTGTGGTGGATATGTATCTGTAACGGAAGGTAAACTAACAAGATTAATACGTGTATCATTTGTTGTTGAACCTTCACTTGAAAAAAATATAACTTGACCA